TGGGATGGGCTTTTGCTGCCCTCTCTTCATAGACATTTCAGTGGATGCCACGCTAAAGCGCAAAAAGAGTGAAAATAGAAAAAAGAATGGTCAGAAAAACGTGGATCATTTGCAACAGATTATATTAATATAATATGAAAGTTACATGTTTTCCTATATTTTGCTGCTGCTTGGCTGAATATATGAAAAATGCCTGAAATAATAAAGTTGATCAGGAAAAATAATGAGTTTGACTTCAGTGCCCAGCTGAGATAATTAGTTAATAGATATCTTTATGTTTCGTGAAGTGTGCTGAGGAATGTACTGAAGCATGAACTTTGTGTATTTGCTTTTTCACCCCTGACCAAGTAAACCTGTTTGGATTACGGTACATATTTGTGCTGTGAACAAGGTCGAATGGAGTTAATTAAAACATTGAAGCTGCTTGCAGTAAAACCAAAACAATCGTATAAAAGAGGCGGTAAAGCTCAGAGGAGCATAAAGATCAAGTCTTTATGTTCTGGTTCGTCTCTCGACATGTTGATCTTCCGGCTTTAACAAACCTGTCAGCACTTCATGCAGATTTATTGGAACTGATGTCTTCCATTTTCATCAGATATGAAATGTAGCTGTATCGCCTTTTTTTTCTTACTTTTGAAAAGTTCTGGTGTGCAGAAGGCTGGCGAGGTATGGAGGAAAATACCAAGTCCAATTGCAAAAGGTCGCAGACATCAGGTGGGTCCTCTCTGAGAAAACCGGGCCCTTATTATAAGCACTGACCTGTGAAATATCACATCGGCTGTGAGCATGCTCAGCAAAATGATGCAATTTGAGAGGATGTCATTGTTCACCCCGTGGTGACCCGATCTTAGCACAGCAGGAGAGGAGTCTGTCTGCAGCTGGGATACACACACTTACATAAACACACACACACAACACAGCTACCAACTTCCCCAATCTATTTCTCTAACAGTCCCCTGAGCTTTGGGGACGGAATCTCGAAACAAAAAGCTCTGAGTTTTACTCACTCTTCAAACATTTGCTGCTGTTAAAAGTATCAACCCGAAGCTTTAAAAATCACAAACAGAAAACAACTGAACATGTTTTACTAACTCTTACCCTGTATAACCCTCATTACTTGTATTGTTTTTCTGTTCCAGAACCAACTCACCTAAAACCAGAGTGAAAAGACCAACAGGTCAAATGAATCATTTACCATTTTAACAAGCCAGATTCCTTACATTCTCAAGCACTGTTGGCAGTAAGAAAATCCAGGTTTTATCACAGAACTGTCATGTTTTAAAGACTCTCTTTTATCTGTTGCACTGAAGCTCTGATTGGCAGAAACAAAACTAGTCAGTAGTATAGTAGTAAAATGTAGGCTTGTCTTTATGCTGCCTGTAGAGAGCTAGACTGGAGCACTATGGGGAAGAACTAGGCCTGCATGATCTGAGTTTGTTGCACGTGCAAATATGTAATTCATAAGTTTCTAGAAAAATGTCATGCTTTCCTTGAACATGATATTGATTTCACTTCAGTCCAGCAGAGCACCTTTGTGATGTCATGGGACATGAGAGTCAAATCATGAATGCACAGCCGACAAATCGTTATGTCAGTGTGAACCAAACCGCTTAGGAATGTTTCTGAACACATTGTTCAGTCTGTGTCACAAAGATTTCAGGCAGTTCTGAAGGCAAAATGTTCCAATTCAGTACTGGGAGCATCTACCTAATAATGTGGTCGTAAATGTGTCAATAAAATTGTCCTATAAAAATAAAAAAATAAAACCTTTAGGACAAAAATTAAATTTGTCCTATAGGTGTTTTGATTTTGTGCAGACGGAATAAGATCTGCACTAAAATGTTATTATTTTATTTTTTTTACGGTTTTAATTTGGGATGTGTTCCTGATTTAGTGTACATTTGACCCAAATCCAGTTTGTTTTTCCCATCCATTTTTGATTTCCGTTTGTTCAACTTTCCCTCAAGCACAAGAAAACATAAACCTCAGTTCACCCACAAACTTTCCACATCAGTTGTTCCGTAACACAAGAAGGGGAAAAAAACTCAGTAAACATAACATAAAGCAAAGAAAACAACTGCCGCATCGACTTGTTTTGCATAAAGAAGAAGTATTGGATGTGTCAAAATGCAGCAGTGGAGGAGGGGGGGATACATCTTGACTTTGTTGTTGGCATTAATTTGCACTGCATCTGAATACCTGCAAATGAGTTTTGGACTTGTCATCTTTAATAAATGTTTTCCTCACGCAGAGACAATACTCTAGAGGCCAGATGAGAGAGGCTGAACAACTTTGAAGACAAACTGTTTTGCAGAGCTGATTTATAGTCGGCACTGACTGGCTCGTCTGCTTCTCCAACGTTTCAACAGTGTGAATACTTTGAAAATTATGCAGGGCCTGACTGATCAGCTTTCATTGTTTAAGGTCAGGATGTTCATTAAATCCGACAGATCGACTGGTAAATACTTTGAGGTGTTGCCACAGCATTGACCTTTGCGAGAAGGCAGCATTGGACGTGCCATTTGGGATGTATTCCTGTTGAAGTGATAAACATTCAACTCAAACGTTCCTCTTCAGACTCTATCGCAGCTGTGATCTCCGTTAGAAACCTCATTCCTCAATCCGATTCTTTTTCTTTCAATAAAACTGACTCGAGCTTATGAAAAAAAATATTACTGAGGTTTTTACAAGTCTCTTCAGACACTGCCAAGTCCAGCCTGGACGGACAGCTGCTCCCCACTCACTGTAGGTTTGTGGCCGAGTGACAGTGCTGGGAGGGCTGCCAATAATAATGATCTTCAACAGCAGTGATGGTCCCTCCTCTCACACTATGGATTAGTCTCTTCACCTGATTGCATCTTCCTCAAAGAGTTCAGCTGTCATAGTGAGTTTAAATCTGACAGCATTGCACAACATGGTAAGACTTCAGTTTGTTTACCTTCCTGCAGTTAAACAGAACGTAGATGATCCGTTAATTCTGCTGATTTATTATGGTGAACTTCAGTCAGGGTGTGACGATGCTAAAAATTCAAACTCCATATCAAGAAATATGCTCAACACCATATTCGATAACTGGGCAGCAGTTTTTAAAGGAACACGGTTCTTTGTTAAGACCAAAGAATATTTGAATATTAATGTTGGTCAGTAATTATACCTGGTTGTGATGAGTTCATCAAGATCCGAGTAGCGTAAAGGAACCATTTATTGTTAAATGAGCACAAGTTTCCAGGATGATGGACATTAAACACATAGATATGCCAAAGTAGTTCATTTTTACTCAAAACTATGAGACCTCCTGGACTGATGTTGACCAGCTTCTGTTTACCAGCATGACAAATAGATGCTAAAATGCATTAGGAGACAAATGACTGCATGAAGCCTGGCGACACTGAATCCCAATGAATGTCATGTTCCGGTTAATCCAACGTTGCTCTGAAAGAATCTATCCCAGCTCCATCCCATTGACATTGTGGTGGGTTTTAATTCTCCCGCAGGCTACATTATGTTCCCTCTCCACCATCTGTGGTGGTTATGATGGGGGACATGCCTGTGTTGAGACTATGCAATAGGGACTACAAGGTTCATCAAAGTGGAGAGACTTCAGCTGCTGCACAAAATATGGAATCTTTTGTACTAAAAAGGTTTTGCAGTTTCGTCATGAGAAAAAAGGAAAAACAGATGCAAGTCAAGCTTTGAAAGGATATATTTCATATTCCCGTCATGTATGCAGTCATTTTAGAAATGCAGACAGAAGAGTGTTCTGATGAAACAGCCATATAGTTATCCAGAATATTTTAGAATATTTTGTCGGCAGCAGAACAGTCCGTCTTCTGTCTGTGTCTCAGACTAAAAAGAAACTCTGCCGACTTTGTAGCTCCTCAAACACTAAAACAAAAATCTGTTTTTGCCTGAGGATCATAACTGTTGCACAGACGGTATTTAAATGTCAAAAATAGCCAGGGGTTACTTTGGAAACACGTTTCTTTGTGAAGGCAGTCCAACAAACTGGGCATAGAACGAAAATTTTAGAGGTGAAATTGTTTCTACACCTTAAAAAGCTGCCATTAAAAACATCTCAGAGACAAAAAAAAAACGCATTGAAAGCAAATTGTTTTTTGCTCTTAAAATGGCAAACCTTATCTGAGATTGATATAATTGTCCTTGAGTTTGTTTTATTTTATTTTTACTCCCGTGTGGCAAATCTCTTCATAATGTCCCTCTTTTGTGCAGTTTAAAATAATTTTTAAAATACTCCCCTCCGGCATTTTCATTTCTATCAGCTTACACTGATTGTTATGGTGCTTCACAGTAACATTTCTCTCCGTTTGAGGCATCCCAACATAAAGGTTATGATCACACATCACAAGGCTTGACCTCATTCTAATAAAGTGATGAAAATATATTAATTCTATGATTCTCGTGGTAAAACAATAGCACGAATCGATTTCTGTCTTCTTAGGGTTTTTGCTCTACATTTCTCACGGCCATGCCAACGCTGTCATGTGTTCACAGGCTTCCCAAAGAGAAACAAGCAAATTACTGTTTGTGTTACACAATACAGATCTGAAAATGGGTTAGATGCAGTTTCTATTCATCAGGGATGTGTTATCCCTCCTTCTGATCGTCTGTTTTTCCTCTTTTACAAGCACTCTCTTTGTTTCACAAACTGCGTGTGTTTGTGTTTATTCAGGGGGGGAGTACACGAGTACATCAGATGATATCCCAGAACAAGCACATGGAAAACAGCTCCCTACACCCGAGTGCACCACCTGGAGGCGGTTGACACCAGAACACGGTTTTTCCACATTGGACTGGGAAGGTGAGAACAGAATCGCAGCTGAAAATGAATGAGCAAAGAGAAGATATGGATATTTGGCTTAGATTAGGATTAAAGTCCTGTAACTCTGAGCACATCCAGAGGATAGTTTTGCAATCCTTTGTTTAAAATCTGTTGCTTATGGAAGAAGACAGTATTCACACAAGTAAAAAGAAGTACTCACCTCCAGAGAGTGCTCTCAGTGACGCTGCCGATGTGAAAGTCATAGAGTTTGGTAAGAATAAGGATGACCTGCAGAGAAAAGAAATTTCTGCATTAAAATGACATTTTTGAAGAGTTTAAATCAATCGACCCAGTGCTCTGCATGTTGAGATGTTTCCCTGCTGATCTGAATGAACAGGTGGCTTCTGCAGCATTGCCAACATGCTGAGGAGGTAAAGTAACCATTTGAAGGAGGTGTGCTGCAGCAGACACATCTAAAGCATGCAGGAGCAAGACCTGAGAACCACTGGTCTGAACAATGTTACCTCAGATTTTTAAGAGGAATCATAAAGCAAAACAGACACATTTCAAAGAGAATCAACCTGCTTTTGATACAAAGCCACACAGATTATCAGATTGTCCAGCAGAAATAAATGCAGTCTGTTGTAGAGTGAGAGTTCAACCCTTTGGCAACATCTTTCACACTTCGCAGTCTAATTCTCAGTCCTCACTTCTCCATCAGATCTCATTGACTGCTACTTGCCAACAGTCAACAACAGTGTTTTTAATACAACATAGAATTTTCACCCTCAAGCGATCACTGACAGCATAGGAAGCATACATCACCACCTTCTCTGCAGAAGGTCAATCTGAGTCTCATCTCCAAACATATAAGGTGAAACAAAGCAGAATAAAAAGATATGATTTGTTTTCATGGTGATCATAGCCTCTTGTATTACAGAGCCCTCCAGAAACATGGGGACATGAAAATACATCCTAATTTGGCTATTTCTGAGTTATTATCACGGATAATAAGTCATCTGACAGTTATGATTGTGTCTCTGTTGTGCTGGTTGTCTGAATGGTTTAAAGGGCTGTTTTCATGTTGAGTTCCATCTCAACCTTAACAGACATAAATGTACAGTGAATAAATCGACTTTCAATCAGTTTTTTGCATCAAAGACTTAATAATAATAATAAACAGGTTTTATAATTATAAAACACAATGGGGATATTATATAAAACTAATGGTGGTAGAGGGCCGCACTGGGTTAACTCGGGAAATATTATTATTAAGTCTTTGGTGCAAAACAATGATTGAAAATCGAATTTTTTACTGCATGTTTATGTCTGTTCAGGCTGAGACGGAAACTGAAAACAGCTCAGACTACAAACACAACAGAGACACAATTAAAACTGTCAGATGACTAATTCCCCCGCAAATATAAATCAGAAATAGTTCAAATAGTTTGGATGTATTTTTATTTCTTTCCTACTTAGGGAAAGTTTCTGTTTACATCAAAGGTCTGTGGAGCCTTTCTGTCCTACAGACAAAGATATAACATGTCAGATATTTCACAAGGAGATATTAGCATACATACAAAGTACGGTGGTCATTGTAAGAAGGGCTTGCAGAATTCAATCATGCCCAATAACTGATCAGTAGATGACTGAGAGGGAACACAAAAGAAAAACAAATCCCTATTTGTTTTTGTTTTTCTACTCAATATATTACTAAAACCATATAACCATCTTCAAAAACGTGTTGCTATTTTATAGTTCAGTGTACTTCACTGATTTATCTATAAGGGAAATGAAGCCAAAAAAAGGTCCAATTTATTATGAGGTGTCAAAATAATCTGAACTGAATTACACAGGTTGACATTTAGAACTGCTCATTGCTGCATTTTATCTTTAGTTAAAGTAAGATAATGAAGTCAATGAGGTGTTGATGTATCTAAGGAAACAGAACCAGTGACAGGAGACAATGACTGTATCGCTGCAGGTCATATCATTATGTAATATCTGAATTGGCTGAACTGAAAATGGCATTTTTGAACAAAACAAATGAGCATTTATTTAGTTGAAATACATTAATAGAACAAAGAGACAAAGTCTAAAACGGTCTAAAATCAGACTTAGAGTGGATGAGAACCGGCTGTATCACACAATTTCATTTTGGTCCAAATCAAGATCATAAATGTCCTCATGGGGCCAGTTGTGGAAGAATCTATCAAATAGAAATAGCTGTTAATTGATCAGAATTGACTGGATTACATTTGTACTTTTTTTCACATTGATTTCATTTGGTCCAATACAAATAAACCAGTTTGATTTAACTGGTATTTAAGCACACAACTGTTATCCTAAAGTTAAATTTATGTTTCTCTCTAGAGTCTAGAGCAGTGGTGCCCAGACTCGGTCCTGAAGGGCCGGTTGCATCCTGCATGTTTTAGACTCTCCCTAGTTCAACACACCTGGATCAGATGATGGCTCGTTAGAAGGCCTATGAAGAGCATTGACTTGCTGAAAAGGTTGTTACTACCATTAGGGACAGAACTAAAACATGCAAGATGCCGGCCCTCCAGGACCCACTTTGGGCACCCCTGATCTAGATCTGGGCCTGGATTTGGCTCCTGGGCTTTGAGTTTGGCACCTGTGACCTAAAAAAAGATCTGTTGATAGCACTGAAAGTCTAAATCACTTTTGTAGGCTGAAATTAAGTTTGCCTCTGGAAGCACAGGGCCAGGTCACTGTGATAGAGAATCAGACACAGCCATCGTCAGCACCGCCCGGATCTCAGCCCACATGCATAAAGAAACAACAGGACAAAAATGATTATTCTTCCACCTGCCATATTTAGTGGTGTTCAATTTTACAGCGTTAGTGGAATAAAACAGATGCAAAATACACAAACGAGTAAAAAAGCCTTTATAGAAATGCAGTAAATTAAAAAATATGAATTTTAGTGGGGGGTTTTTTACCCAAAAATATTCTACTCAATAAAGTAAAGTGCAAATTCTGAAATGGGTCCATTTCTATAGGTGTCGGCATTGTTTCGTCCAGATGTCTTCAAAACTAAAATCAGCAAAGTCTGGGTTTATGGGTAAAACAAAAACAAAGCACAGAAGAAAAGTATTATTCTGCACTCAAAATGTCTTGTAATCAGCAGAAAACTGGATTTTTATGTTTGGCAGTAGATCAAATTAACTGTTAAGAAATGTAAAGCAGTTTATCTGAGTATTACGTACTGGAAACCAATTCCTGCAGCATTCACTGACAGCGCCATAACAATAATGCCCTCATAACCATAAACATAATGCTGCAGTCAATTCCTTAAACAAAGACACTGCTAGGGGCTGTTTCTGTCTTAATGACTTCAAACAGTTGTTGAACTGGACAGTTTAGAGGAAAATATTTCAAGCCAATAAAAAACTATTTAAATTTAATGACTTCATAATTTTATAGGTGCTATTTTATGATGGGAACGTAACTTTTGCTGACTCACGTATATAATCTGTTGATTCTGGCCACAGTTTTCTATGAAACATTAAAAGTTTTACATGTTTTAATGATGCCCATGCAGCAGCAGCACATTACAGAACTACCTTTCAACAGAAACTGAAGGGTTTTTTTTGCCTTTTTTAAGGAAACATTTCTTTTTAAACCGCTGTCAGGATATGCAAAGCTGTGCTAAATTATTCACATCACTAAACCTTTTCACATCTTCTCACTATAAAAGCCAATTTATTCAGTATTTTACTGATACCTTATACCAGTAAAATACCAGTAACATTCTTTTACTGGTATTCTTGGTCTTTTCTTGGTCTAGAAGAAGAAAGTTTTAAACTGTGCTTACATGGAAAAGGTAAATCTAGAAATAGTGGCCAGCATTTGTTTTTAACCCTGGTATAAATATTTTCCGTGGCTTTCAGGGCTACATGTAGTGCAAGGGTTCCTCCTCTGTTAGTTCAATTTTAGTTTAATCTGACTAGAGCACCTCAGTCTCTTCTTTTTATGGGTTTTGTTTAACAATGGCATTTTCTTTGAGATGCTTAAAAGTTTTTATACTGTACCATTAAATTATAACAGGCCCCCGATTCGGACACAAAAACAATTTGTCAACATGTCTGAAACACCTGGACAAACGCTGAAACATGGACATACTATGTGTGGCATTATATATTTATATTTTCTTCCTAATGGCAGAATTTGAGATGCAGCAGTGAGCAAGTTTTTGTAGAGCTTGACACAGTTAATTGTCTTTTATTGCAGTTTTTCCCTCAAAAAAGCAGCATAATTGCTGCCGACAACAAAATACATTCTAGTGAATCAAATTTTGTTCCAACAGCAGTTAGTAAAACACTACAAGGTGCAGAGTGATAAATTAGCATGTTGGGATGCTGTGTTGTGCATAATTAATTATGTGTATCCCGTCCAGTGTTGAAACTTTTTGGGTCTTTTTTCTCTGCCATCCTCGCCCCTGTGGAAAAGTCTCATCCAACAGACTGCTCACAGCTTTGGACTTTTAAAGAGAGAGATAGTCAGCAGGCGGGGTGCTGTCCTCAGAGCAAATCACAAGACATGAAGGTTGAGAGGATCAGCGGTCAGCTGTGATCCTCCACTCCAAAGTGCAAGATCACAACTCTGCTCTACAGGGCTGGAAGGGAGATGGGAGGGGATAAAATCAACTGCTACGAAAAACGACTTCAACCATCTGGTAACTTCAGTTTTTATTCACCTCAATATTTAGTCAAATAAAAGAAAACTTTTAGGTTAAAAGTTTTATTTTTGCTTTTGAAAATTACAGTTATGATTCAGATTTTGAAGCAAAGTTTTGAGCTGTGGTTACCACAACAGTTCTCAACACTTTACATGTAAAAGAGCATCTAAAGCAGAGTGACTCTAGCGTTGATTGAACAATACTTGCAAGGGTTGTTGTGAGGTTTGTGAAATTGGAGTTGAGGAAACCTCAAGCGGCGTACACTCAAAAAATCTGCAGCCATATTTTATACACAAGTCAGCATGTATAAAAATGAACTTTGCATCAAAGTTTGCGTAACTATACGCACTTTTTCCTCTGGCGTGAAAATATGCGGCAGCCACACAAATGTTTTCTACTTTGCAACCTGGAATTTTGCAAAGTAGAGGTTGCAAACCAGTACGGACCACACATTGATAATGGATGGACGTTTTCAGCAACATGTCGCAGTAGAACAACTTGTAATGTTCTGACTTGTCACCGAGATTTTGCAGTACTGCATGTTGGTCATCGATGTAAAGGAAGAAATGCAATTCTAATGGATGTA